TTTAAAAAATGGAAATAATAATTCAAAACTGAATATAAAAAAAAATTTTGAGAAAATATAAACTAATCTTTTTTCAAATGGGGGGGGGTTGTTATTTAGGGACCATCCATAAACCACGTTGTCTGCTTTGGGGGGGAGGGGGTTCGGTAATGTGCTACGTTAGACCACATGGGGGGAAGGAGGGTTTTGAGTCTGAGCAACGTAGCTTTGTATTTTTATTTGACATACATTTTTTTGAAATTACGCGGGCAGCTCGAAAGTCAATTCGAGAGATATATGTGGACGTCCACATGAAAATGGCCCATTTTGGCACTATTGGAGTTATCTATATGGGCGTATTCCTGGCAAAATTTGGAAAATTTTATATGTTCTTAGAACTTTTTTGGTTAAAAATTCGCTGAGTTACGGAAATTAAAAGTTTAGAACGCCAAAAACCTCATTTCGAGAAAAACGGTTACCTTGAAGATAAAAAACCAACAGGTTTTAAATTTTTCAAACCATCCCCCCCCCCCTCTTAATTTTGAAAATACGAAAAACTTTTTTTTTCTAAAAAGGACAGTTTTTCTATTAAAGAACCATTTTTTACAAGTTTAATGATTAGGTACAATTTTATTGTGTCATTTGAAGAAAAAGGATAGATATTAAACTTATTTAAAAATTTTTGACAGTTTCTATTATGAAAAAATTAACGTAATATCCAAATTTTCATTTCGACAATTACGAAAAAAAGACTCTAACATCAATATCTCTGGTTCTTCTGGGAAGTTATTCAGATAAGAATTGTTTACAGTCCAGGACACCTTAAAGATGAAAAATCAAGAGGTTTTAAATTTTTTCCACACCTCTATTTTTAAAATACGGATTACTTTTGCAAATGACCGCCAAAATGGGCCCTTTTCATTTCTCTAAAGAACCAATGAAAACAAACAGTTAAATTATCGATAAATTAATGAAAACCGCATGATTCGACTTGTCAAAACATGTAGATTGATAATAAAAAATCTTTTTTAAATTAAGATTTTGCTCCAAAATTACTAAATTGCGATTATCTCGAAGACTAGAACCGACAATATAGGCCCTTTTCATGTGGACGTCCACATATATTGATAAAAATATATAGTGATGAAAAAATTAACATATATATATAAATATTGATTAAAATTAAGAATTAGTCTTGTATCAAACTCTTACTTGTCAAAAAAAAAAAACTGTGATTTAAAAACATTTAATATTGTTTACTATGTTTCAATACGATTTTATTGATTATTTTTAGAAAAAAGATTTTAATATTCAAAAAAAGAAAAAAGCTACGTTCCATTAGGTAGGGGGGAGGGGGTTTGGTAATATGCTACGTTAAGCTACGTGGGGGGGAGGGGTCGAAAAGTTCAAAAATCGGAGCTACGTGGTTTATGGATGGTCCCTTATGTAAGAACCCGAATAGAGTATACATGAAGAACAATAATAAAACAAACTAATCTTTTTCACAAGAAGGCTAGAGACAGGAGGTGAAACTTCGGTAGTGGGGATGAGTCAAAACCCTTTCATTAACCAGGCGTTTTTCGTTTCGAAAAGTCGCCGGCGCGGTGCTTCTGCACATCACTCACACATTCAAATTCTTGTATACCATATGTTTTACATATGTGTATGATATGATTTTAATTTGAGGTTAACTATAAAGTGCAATCAGTGTAATCGAGACACAATTGACAATGTGTGTCATAACGGATATATAGAAATAATGTGAGTGATTATTAAATTAAGTGTTATTCAAATAGTTAAAAATTCCGAAAACGTGCTGTGTGAAAAGTTGTAGCAAGAAGAAAGATAAACCTACACAACACTATGACTATTACTTTTTGTTAACTTTTAATACACTTCATGCTACAGTTTACACATTTTTTTGTTTTTAAAACGTTTTTTTAATAACTAAAAGATGTTTGAAAATATAAACACTTATATTTCATATTGTATTTGTATAGAATATATTTTCCTGTGTTTACGTGTGTAGCTGCGCAGAAGTCCGTGTGGTCTATTGCGGCGAAAACTTTTTTTGAAAGTAAACGCCTGACCATACATCAGCTGAGCGACTCAGCATTGCCATACCCCCACTACCAAAGTTTTACCTCCTGTCTCTAGTCTTCTTGCTTTTTCAAAATAATAATTTAAAATTAAACATATTAAACATTATTAAAACTAATTAATATTGAACAATTTAGTATTCAAAAATTTGGAAAAATAAAAACTTCGACTTTGAATGAATTTAATTTAAATTACGCAGTAACTTCAAAGTATCTTATATATTGTAATTAATTATCTACAGATAAGTATAAAGTATACATTGTTAATGGAAAGATGATAAAAATGGAATTCTTTAATAATCACCTTGCAAGCTAGAAAAATTTCTTATCACTCTTTTAGCCCTGATTTCATAATAAATTGATGATAAAAGGTAATTTTTACAATTTCAAAAAGTTATTTTAGTGATTTCACTAAAAATTAAAATAAAATTTATGGTAATTTAATACTTGATTATCAAGAAGCCAGAGGTTTCCGTTTTTATAAAAAGAAATTATTTATGCTTTTCTTTGATGTGACAGCTCAATTATTGAATTATATTTCAGGAAAACGTAATAAATTAAATGTTTAAAAATACCACTATCGTAACTCAATTACTGCAAGTTTTAAACAAAATTTACATAAGCAAAAACATTATGTTCATTACAATGTTATAATATATGAGCGATTCCACGTCAAGTGATCAAGGGGTCTTACGGTGCAATGTTTATTTCGATAATTTTTTACTCTTAAACAATTAAACATAAAAAGTTGGCCAAGTACAGTTTCGAAAGGTTTTTTCATGCTTTTTCAATTGGAAATAAGCATTTTAAAAAAAAAATTTTTTTTGACTAAAAAAAATCAAAATTAAAAATAAATTTTAATTATATATACATGTCCTTTTAGTAAAAACCCTCAGCTTTCATTTAAAAAAAAATCGTATCCTTCCCCCTCAAAAATTAAAATTTTTTTTAAATTTTTTTTTTAAATGCTTATTTTCAATCGAAAGAGCATGAAAAAACCTTTCGAAACTGTACTTGGCCAAATTTTTATGTTTGATTGTTTAAGAGTAAAAAATATCAAAATAAGCATTGTACCAAATACCCCAAAACTTTCACCCCCTCCCCCTCGGAAAATATTAGACTAGGTAAAAAAATATTTTCACCAAAAATCACTATCCACTAGTACTACAAAAGCCCCAAGTTTAGGCACGATTGGAGAAAAATTTTTGTCCGCCTTGATCACTTGACATGGAATCGCTCATATATAAAGTAATTATATATTTTTTAATATTTACTATTATTATTATAACTTTTATATTACAGAGCAAATTTTTAAAGATAACTTTTATCTATCGATAATTACGTAACAAAATAATCGCAAAGGTTTTTATAAACCAACAAAAATTGTATTTCAAATAAAAAGTTTAAAATAATTTAATGATTTGCAAATTTTTTGGATTTTTGTTTTATGTACTTTATTACATTTTTTATATTCTCTATATTAAAAAAGACATGGAGTGGAAAGGTCGAATGTATCGAAGTAAAGAATGGGCAATGAGAATGTAAAATCTTAATGGGTCAGTCCATTGACTTTCGTCTGAGAGTCGTTGCGACCATATTTTAAAAAAATCTAATTTTCATATATGTGAAACTCGATGATTTTCTGAGTTCATTAATCATAATATAATGTTACAAATTTTATTCCGTATAATAATATTAATTATCAAAAGTAGGTGGTTCACGATGTGATTTCGTAACCTTAAATTTTTCAACTTTTTAAAAGACGTTATTATTCAAAAACTATTAAATATTAGGGGTTGGTACTTACCACAAATATAAATCTTTCCATTCTGCACGTTCTAACCACAAAAATGAACTAAAAATTCTATTATTTGTGGACGAAAATTGATTTTAAAAATTTTTTTATCCAAAAAAATTACACTTTTTGTTTCACTTACAACTTTTTTGTCGGGCCTCAAAAAAATTTGGGGTTTTGCAAATATTTCTTTAAGAACATAATTTATCTTCTATTGAAATTTGACGAAGGTGTTTTTCTTCGTTCTCAAAATAATAATTATAAAAAATTTTGTTCAAAAAGGTTAATTCTAAGACTTGAAGTTGATATTGACATTAAAATAACAATGCTTGTTGTTTATTTCAAGCATTATAATTAACCTTTTTGAACAAAATTTTTTATAATTATTATTTTGAGAACGAAGAAAAACACCTTCGTCAAATTTCAATAGAAGATAAATTATGTTCTTAAAGAAATATTTGCAAAACCCCAAATTTTTTTGAGGTCCGACAAAAAAGTTGTAAGTAAAACAAAAAGTGTAATTTTTTTGGATAAAAAAATTTTTAAAATCAATTTTCGTCGACAAATAATAGAATTTTTAGTTCATTTTGGTCGTTAGAACGTGCAGAATGGAAAGATTTATATTTGTGGTAAGTACCAACCCCTAATATTTAATAGTTTTTGAATAATAACGTCTTTTAAAAAGTTGAAAAATTTAAGGTTACGAAATCACATCGTGAACCACCTACTTTTGATAATTAATATTATTATACGGAATAAAATTTGTAACATTATATTATGATTAATGAACTCAGAAAATCATCGATCATTGATCATTGTTTGTACATGTGAAGGTGGCGCTGCAGTCGTATGTTATTTAAAAAGAGCGCGAATATATAAATTTTATTTTTGTTAAGAGAAAGTACTCATAATAAATCTTATTTTGCATTGTCAAAAAACGTCAACATTTCAAATATAAATAAGCAAATTATTAACTGAAAAAATTTGAATATTATTATTAATGAAATAATGGACTTGGACAATGGACATATAAAAACTAGCACCGTAGACGGCCGCTTGCGGCCGTCGGAGGAGCTAGTATTCTATAAAATGAAAATTTTATCTAATTTTTTAAATAAAATAATTAAAATTAGTACTTCATAATTAATTTGATACATTTTATGATAAATTTCGAGATTTTTTTATAAATAAATTATTATTTATAAATAATTTAAATAAATACTGTTACTCATAATCAAATCGACATTACAAGATTAACAAACACATCGATCATTACATTACACTCACAAACATAATCGTATATTATGTATCTCTGCGAATTACATTGAGTCAATTTGTAAATAAAACTGATAAAATGATAAATATCGGTAGCTTATGTTATCGCAAGGATATTTGTTTTAAAATCACTTAAAAGTTCATTACAAGGTATTAAAAGAGAATACCAAGATTTCCTACTTATGAATTTTTTTGCACTCTAAAGGTAATAAAAATGATGAAAAATCTTAAAATAACTTTACAAACGTTTCACTGTATGTGAAATGTGACGCAACATGGAGAAAGGGACCAACTGGATTAACTTTCAATTTAATTTAATTTAATTATGTTTAAACCTTTATTGGATCTAATAAAAATCTTATAATCAAGGTAAAATCTTCTCTTTGCTTCTTATGTCCCTTCCATCCTGGCGTGTCAATTATATATGATATAAAAAATAGCTATAATGAAACATGGGAGATGCACTCTTAACTAACCTACAATTAATTAATTAATTATACTATTTTGAACTATCATGCAGATCGTGTTCTGCTTTTAATACCATTCAATTCATTTTGAATAGTTTCTGTGCTCTTGCCCTTCGTTTCGGGAATGAAGAATAGAGTGAAGATTGTTGCAAAAACCATGACACCAGCAAATATCCAAAATGTTGTTGCTGATCCTAATGCTTTACTCATATCGGAGAATGTCTTTGTCACCAAAAATACCAAGAACCAATTAACCATAACAGCCAAACTTGTGGCGATTCCCTTCAACTCCACAGTGTATAATTCGCCCATTAGCATCCACGAAATTGGCCCCAGCCTTTAGGAGAAACAAAATGTATTTTTTAGCGTGCTGTGGAAAGTATTTCAGTACCATCATATCCCATTCATATCTTTTCCTATCGCTTACATTTTGAATTATTTAAAGTTCTTCATTTAACAATTACTTATCCCACGCGGCACCGAAAGTTTCCTAAAAGTTGAAATTAACGACTGCAATCATCAGAAAGTTTAGTTACGAAACTCGTGAAACTTGAGGGAATTCTTCAAGTGTCCACTGTTATTTAATGTTTGACACGGAAGTTTAAACACTTTATAAAAGTTTAAAATTTCTTAAATTTATTTTAAATAAACAGTGGATATTTACATGAGTTACTTCAAGTTTCATGAGCTTTGCAAATAAACATTAGGTAGTTATGCAGAAGGACTTTAGCTAAAAAATGAAAGCTTTTCCAAAAAGGATTAGGTAACCATTTATCTTTAAAATTGGGAAAAGTCCTTCTTCTGCATAATTACCAAACATTCTTTTAGGAATCTTTCGATGCTGTAGAGAATGTAATTTTATTCAAATATTTCTACTTTATTTCAACATTTTTGATCTTCCATTAACTATCTCTTAAGTTATGTGGTATCGAACTATTTTTGATAACACTGTAGATTGATACTTTTACTTTTGGCACCTCACTTATAAAATAGCTAAACAAGACTATTTTAAGGTGTCACATTTATACTTACCCTACTGAGAAAGCAATCATGAAAACGACTAATGAAGAGAGTGGAATCCATCCTAAGGAACTGACATCCTTTCCTCCATCCTTTAGAAAAAAATAAGCCCCAATTGCTATTAAACTCAACCCACATCCTGCACAAGAAACCATCAAAAGCGGTTTTCTTCCAGCTTTGTCAACAATTACAGCTGCTACTCCAGCCATTACCATCTGCATAATTTATAAATATTTGTCACTCAAGTACATCAGGTCTTACTTGATAACTTATCGGACCCAAAATTCTAGACTTTCTTTTATCTTAAATTTTACGAATTCGAAACTATTTCCTCAATTAACTTTTTTAAATCAATTGAAGAAAATGAAAAATTATACATTACCTCTGTTGTAAAACTTTCAGATCCGATAAGATAATTAATTTAATGAATATTTCTTATGTAATAGATAATTAATCAATAACCTGCACTAATCCAACTAATATTGAAGCTAAACCGGAATCCATATCACTTCCTGCATTGCTAAAAATCTGACTTGTGTAAAAGATGACGGCATTAATTCCAGACAATTGTTGAAATACCATCACAGCTAAACATGCCAAAGTGGCTTTTCTTGCTGCAACACTGCCAATCAAATCAAATATAGAGCTTCTTCTTGAAGAGGAGTCTTCAACTTCTCTTTGTATACTACTTAACTCAAGAGTCTGATCATAAACGTCTCCTCTCAAAATAGTCATAGAAATAGTTGCTTCTGGATTTCTACTCCTGCCCTAAAAATACAAAAATCATAATATTCATTATTTTCAAATTGTTTACCAATCACTTTATTTATTAGTTCTAAAATGTTATTGGTGCTATAATTGCATTTTGTATGGAACTATTTTTATCCTGTACTATTGTAATAAAGTATAATAGATTTCTTTTTATAAATTTTTACGTTGTGCACCAAATTTATTCTTGATTCTTCCAATGCATCTAAGACCTTAAAAAATATTACCTACACTTTCTCATTTATTGTTAAATAAGATGTCAATTTCAGTAAATTACATTTACAAAGTTTTCAAAAAATTCCCTATGAGCACAGGGACATGTAATGTTTATAGGACGTCCTTAGTAAGTTCAGCATTGATAGTCTTAAAAATGTTGCATCTTAATTTAAAACTTCCTTCATGCTTTAAAATAATATAACTTCTTTCATTTTACAGTGTCGCAATGTAACAACACTAAATTACTTGTCATAATATAATCTTATCTAATGTTTTAATGCTTAATTTGAAAAAGAGAATGGTGTAGAGGAGGGAGAAGACAAAAACTATTCTAGATAATAAGAAAATGTCAATGAACGTATAATGATGTGGATCTGATAACTAAAGATGTCAAGAAAATAAGATTCAAGAGGAAGGAACGCATGAATATTTCCCTGTTGACAAATAACTGAATTGTTGTTTAATAGAAAAGCATAAAACATCATTTAAATTTAACATAAATGCCATTTAGATTTTCGAAAAATTTATTAATTTTTAAATGTATCACATCAATTTAAATAATTTAAATAAATTTAAAAAGTGTTATAGTGGTTAAAAGCTTATTGTGTTGAAATACACTAATATCCGTGGGATATCCTTCTTAGGAAGTATTTGGGATGTTCGTAGGAAATGGTGAGGACGTTTTTAGGACATTTTTAGGACATATTTGGGACATTTTCAGGACACACTGAGGACATTTTTAGGACATTCTCAGGATACGTTGAGAACATTTTTAGGACATATGAGACATTCTCTGGAGATGTTTTTTTTTTTTTTTTTGCTTAGGGACTTTTGGGAAATCTGCCTACAGATACCTTGGATTCCGCACTCCAAGGTTATGTGGGGTTGATATGATAAAAAAACAAAAAGAAATATAAAAAAAAGAAAAATAAATAAATGTTATAATAAATTTAACAAACTGGCGACCTACTACCAGCCCGACCAATTATAAATTATATGAAAATTATATAGTCATCATATTAAAATAGACATAGACGTCTTAAGGACGTCTTGAAGACATCCCTTGTCCTAGTGCCATCAAGGAATTAAGTGAAAATCGTGAACAAAAATAAGAAAGTGTTATTGTAACCCTGAGATCATTTATCGAGATCCGTCAAGGGTCCTGGTTTCAAGTTGAGTAACTAAAGAATTCCATTTGTAAGAGAAGGACAGAAATATGTCCGTCTTGTTTTTACTAATGTTAATTAGTTACACTGAAAAACTGTTGGTAGAGCAGTTCCGCTATTGACTGTTGTGCAGCGCTACTTAACTTTAAACTCACAGCTCTATCAAAATTAGGCGAGTTGCTCTCCTAAACTTGACTACCAATGGCGTTGGCGAGCGGCTGCTTGACAAAAAGGTCAGCAGCTCTATCAAAAAGGAGAGTTGCTCGCCCAAAAAGGAGAGTAACTCGCCCAAAAATAAAGTGAGCTGTGCGTTTCTTTTTAACGCAGCAGTTCACCGCATTGGGCGAACAGCTCTACCAACAGTTTTTCAGTGTACTTCAGTTGAAATTAGGACCTTCGCCGGAAATATGTAAATTATCTTAGGTACACCCAGATGCTTTAATGATATCCTTCAGGTTTGACGCAATTTTGAAAAGTCGTATGATTTCTGTCAAAATGTTTTTTAGTTCATAACATATTAATAAACATTCGTTTATCACGAACTAAGAATATTTGATAGAAATAACACGACTTTTTACAAATCCGTCTAACCAGAAGGACAGCATTAAAGCATCTGAGTGTATTTAAAAAATTTTGTAACATATTGAACTAAGTAAAAATTGCGAATAGAAATAAAACAATTGTTTCATGTTTATAAAAATTGTAAGAATTATAGTGATTAATCAAAGTGGAATAAATATATGGATGATAGAAATTTGATGGACAAAAATGGAATGAATATATTAGGAATCCGAACTGTAGTAAGTTACACGTGACTATTCGGTTTTTCAATTTTGCTTTATGCTTTTGTATTAAATTAAAACCGGAAAATAAACAGAAGGAGATTGAAAGAAGTAGATGAATTTTACTATTCAGAATATTGTTTTACAGTGGAGTACCAGTAAAAATAAATTACAGGGCAAAAATTAGATGTGGATGGAAAAAGGAGATTACTATTTAGTTATAGTTTCTCTAGCCGATTAATTAGAGTCCATGACTATTCCTAAAGATAATTACAATTAGTGATGTAAGATGAATATGACAGAGGAAAGTGTTTGCTAAAGAGGATCATATTTAAAAAGTTTAACCCTAATAGGATTAGAATAGATAAAGGATAAACAGAAAGGAAACAGTAGAGTAAAGTTAATAATTTGGATGAAAATAAGGTATACATACATTGGACGATAATGGACAAGGTGAATGCATTTTTGAAAATTGAAATAAAAAATACTGAATTTGTCACCTACCACTAACCACACTGGTGATTCAGGCATCCAAAAGAAAGAGGCCAGAAAAACTATTTCCACCAATCCACAAGCTAACGTAAATCCAGTGTAAGACAAGAGAGTTCCAAAGAGGAAGGAAAATACAATACCGGCAGTTAAAAATAATTGAAAAATTGATCCTAATGTACCGCGAACAGAAGCTTCGGCAATTTCAGAAATATACGTCGGTACTAAAACACACGCGGCACCAACTCCAATGCCAACTATAAATCTGGCGATACAAAGAATAATCGCCGAGTTCGCAAACAAAATAATGGTCCATGACAGAAGAAATGGCGCTGCCAATGCAAGAATCGACTTTTTTCGTCCTATTAAATCCGCTACTTTCCCCGCGGGAATAGCGCCGACAATTGCTCCAATTGCACACAAGGATCCAATCCACGATTCCTCTCCTATTGTCAGTTTTACAAATGAGTCTTCTTTCTTCAGCATATCAAATACTGGCGATGACCAAGCCAACGCAGTGCCAACTCCGAATGACAAAATTGATGCTGAAAATTTTAGAAAAACTTGTAATAATTTTTTTTTATTTCGATATTTTGTTTTATTTTAACATTTCAGAATTAATTTCTAATTTCCATTTATAATTTTGCTTGAAATATCTCTTTATTATTAATTCAGATTTCATTGAGATTTTAATTTTAATTCAATAATAACTTCATTTATAATGAAAGGGGAAAATTAAAAAGTTTAATTGGAAACTTCTCGCTCTTCAAAAATAGTCCATTTCCGTTCAATTAAAGTATCTTTATATTGTCAAGTCTATAGAATCAATTTTTATTATGTACATATTTCGATTATCGTGTTTTATATTTAATTTCTACTGTGTTAAGGTTAACCTCAGCTATGAGGAAGATACACAATAAATATAGATTATTGTTACACAATTAGAAGATAAAACATTTTTTTCAATAATTTTTTTAGTTTATAAAAAAATATCACTTTCAAAGTCACTGGCAATAAACAATTTCAATAATTATTTTTAAGTTATTGTCAAAGAACCTTCAAAATAGTGAAGAAATTGAACATTTTTTCATATCTATCATATGGTATTTAAAAAACAAATCATCTCTGTAAATAAAAATGCCTCTTAAATAAAAAAGTTAAATTAATTATTAATACTGCGTAAGAATTATAATAAATTTCATCAAAATTGATAAGAAGGAAAAGTTTTATTCAAATTAAAGTTTTGTTAATTTTTTTTTATTTTTTTTAAGGTTTTATTTATATCTATTAATTATAATCACTTTATTATAATTATTACAGTATGTAATTAAGGAAGAATCTGACAAACAGTCAAAACAAAAGTTAGTCCAATGTCAGAATTTCGTAATTGAAAAAGAAAAGATAAATTAAATTTTAAATTCGTTTTGGTGGAAAGGCAAAGAATTTAATTTTCAACAGTTTAAACGATTGAAAGTTGCATTTGAATAAAAATTACAATTTTCTGTCAATAAAAAATGTTTGTTAAATTACTTAAATTATTTATTATTGACAAAAAATTATAATTTTTATTCAAATATAACTTTAAAAATGTTAAGTAAGTAGAAAATTAAATTCCTTACGCTTCTACCAAAAGAAATTAACATTTTTTAAAATTAAATTTTTATTAAATTAAAATTAATTTGACCTTTTCTTTTAAAATACGAAATTATGACATTGAACTAACTTTTGTTCTGATTATTTGTCGGATTCTTCATTTAATAATTAATTTAACTTTTTTTTATACACCTATAGTAATTATTGTAATAAAATTCATAACAGTTCCCTGCGTTTTAAAAATCTTCTCTAATGTGTTTTTAATAAAACTATAAAAAATTCCGGATGACAAATAAAATAAAAAAATAATTTTTAAATTTTTCATTTATTGGTGTAAATTTATTATTTAAAAACAAGAAAGTTTAAATTTACATTGAAGATCTTAAATTAAAATACTTTATAAATTAACCTTTAAATACTTAAAAAAGAAGTTTAAGAAATAATAATTAAAATAATACCTGTTAATAAAAAATAAATAAAAATTTTACTATCAAAAGTGAAGAAGATGGAAAGGAAAATTAAATTGTTAAAAGAAGATTGAAAATAAAAATTAATAATTAATATAAAAAATATAATGAATATTAAATATAATAACACAGGCCGACAAAATTTTGGCGAATCTCAGAACCAAAAACCGGAAAATACTTTTCCGAAGGTTTTTGACGTGCTGAATCCGAATCTGACCTCAGAATTGACCCATCACGTCAGGTTCTTGAGATATTCTAACCTAAAAGTGTCAAAATCATGTTTTTTGGGCATTTTTGAAGTCCTGTACAATCAACAGAAAATTTTTTTTCTAAAAGTTATTTACGGCATTTGAAAGTACTATATTCTTTTTACTATTTACTTTATTATTTACTTTATTTACTATTTACTTTTTACTTTTTTACTATATTCTTTTAAATGTGATAAATTGGTCAATATTCGCATACTGACCAGATTCAAAAATTTCAAATGACGATATCTCAGTGAAAAATAAAGATTTTTTCAAGTTTCAAAAGGCTTATTAAAGGGGAAGAATAGTACTTTCAAATGCCTTAAATAACTTTTAGAAAAAAAATTTTCTGTTGATTGTACAGGACTTCAAAAATGCCCAAAAAACATGTTTTTGACACTTTTAGGTTAGAATATCTCAAAAACCTGACGTGATGGGGCAATTCTGAGGTCAGATTCGGATTCAGCACGTCAAAAACCTTCGGAAAAGTATTGTCCGGTTCTTGGTTCTGAGATTCGCCAAAATTTTGTCGGCCTGTGTAATTTTATTTCTTATGTTTCTATTTAATTTTGTAAATTAATTTATTGTTACTACTTATACAATTAAATTCAATAAAATTAATTTAAAAATAAAATTAAAAATAATACTCTAATTTTGAATTATTAGTGACTAATTTTTTGGCTTTTGAATTAGTAAATTTTACTGATAAATTCGTTACTATTTATTTATTATTTAGTTTTTTTTATTTATTATTTATTAAGTTACTATTTATTAATAAAATTTACTAATTCAGAAGTAAAAAGTCAGTCACTAATTAAAATTAGTAAACATTTTTACCAATTAAAATTTAAAGAGAAAACGATCAGAAAAAGGAAAATTGTGCAAAACTTGATTAAGACACTTTTGTAAATTTTACCAGAGCATGCAGCGAGATATTGCCAAAGTTTCTTTCCATCCTGTTTAACTGGAACATTGTTTAGAATTCCAGTTCCCTCCATAACTGATTTTAATATTTTATAAAATTGACAAATTATTTTTTCTTCTCTTAAATTTAATTTAACATTTATTTTTAGTCAAAATAAAAAAAAATTAAATGAAGATTCTAAAAACTGTGCAGAATAGAAGTGGAAAATTTTTCTATTCTTTGTTTTTTTTGAAGGTACGACAAATCGAAAGAGAATGATCATAAGAAACTAGAAGAAATTGTGGACTGCACTAATTACTATGGAACCATCGTTTTATTATCTTAGAGACATTATCTCTAATCTTCAACTTATCTACGCTAATTGAAAAAATAAAGTTATGATAACAAAAGAATCAATAGTTATTCCCTATATATGTATTAAATCCACACCCTTTTTCTAAAGAAATTTTTACGATAATATAGCGTCATTCACGAAGCGAAGGATGTAATCTTATATTATATGAATTCGCCATTAATTGATAAATCAAAAAAATTTCTGGAATTTTTATTTAATGTTTATTTTCCAGTACAGTGAATTTGATTAGTCAAAAAAAAATCTTTTGATATGAATTTTTCAATTCAGTTTCTATTTTTTAATTTTCCTGAATATTTTGTTAATTTTTTGTTAATTAAATGTACATTTTGATAAATTTTTAATACTAATAATAAAATTATAAATCTCCAAACAGGTGTTTATGTTCAAATAGAATAAATACTTACATAAAATATAAAATATCGTAATATAACTTGAAGATTTCAAATTTGTTTGTATGGCTTGGAAATTAATTTTTGTGGTTTTTATTGTCATTATTTTTTTTAAGCATTAAACCTTTTTATTTTTTTGTTTGTTTCATTTTGAAAACTTATATTTTATTGTTTTCAACAAGAAATTCTTTATCCTCTAAAAATTAAGACAATTACAATTAAATAATGATTACTGTAGCGTCAAAGTAATATTACCATGTAATGTTACTGTAACATTACTTGTAATATTACCTTGGGGTGGACATTTTAATATTAATATTAAAAAGTAAAAAAAATTTACTAACATCACTTGTAACATTACACTAATGTTACGTGCTACTTGGGTTGTAGAAAACATTAAATTAGAAAGGTAAACTTTTGAATATCTCGAAACACGTTATCTCAAATTTTACTGCAACTTATGTCAAAATAAAGATAAAATTTTCTGTATTTAATATTTATTCTTGTAAATTCGTATAGGAGCGATGTCTGGAATTATCGACAATGCTCTGGAACATTTACCAGTGTTAAAAAAATCTTTGACAATACCCGGGTAATGTCAACATTGCCCACTCATGTATTTGGGGAATGTTTATCATGCTATTCAATGCCAGAAATTCATAAAAGCAAAAGTAATTATTTTATAATATGATACACTACTGTCAAATTTGGAATTGCATTTTTAATCTATTTTTAAATATTAGCAATTTTATAGACTTTCGATAATTATTATTCTGTGTCTACCCAGATAGCACAACAATTTTCAGCAATTTTTCAATGCATATATTAACATTACCTTAACCCATTAATGCCTAAATGTACAATTTTTTGTCACAAAGTTTGACACTATATTTTAACATAAAAACTCTATAGAAACAATTCTGCAATAGTCATTTCTTATTGTCCCAAAAACCGCTTTTTTTAATGGCGTGGCAAAAAATTTTATAAATTTATAATTTTATAGTTAATAAATTTAAAAAAACATTGTACTTAAAAAACCATTTTTCAAATTTTTATTGACACTTTTTTCTTTGATTACAACTATCTAAGGTTATTTAAAGTAAAAAATTTGAAAAAAAACTAATTCCGCTCAGTATTCTTTACACATTACCTTTGAAATGCTTGGAAAATTTATTTTATTTCTCAAAATCCTCTGAATTGGCTATCATAATCTTTTATGTAATAAAAATAGAATATATTCATCCTTTACTTTGATGAGTTTCATTAAAATTTAAATTTCGAGATATTCAAATGTTTATCTTTCAAACTTAATAATATTTTATCCAAATCACATAATTTTTTTAAAAAATCTTTCAACCATCATAAAGTTGAGAAATTTTTCTTTTGTAACCACTGATAGTAAATAAAAATTGGTTTTATTAAATGGGAGAAATAATTATTTAAAAACTGCCTCATATGTTGGCAAATGTTTACGAGAGGGGTCGTTTTCAAATTGAATGCCTTCATTAATACAAATAATAATCGTAAGTTCCTTTCCGTTAGCAAATTATCTGCATTCAATTGTTTGTTTTGAAAATTAAATTTTGTGGGTTAAGTATTGGCATTTTTTATTTTTTAATGTCAAACTTTTTAATGTGAAAAATACTTTACTTATTAAATTGTCTCGACTCTTTGGTAAAAAATCTAAAATTATCAAAAATTCGAAAAAATTCAAAAATTCGATTTTCTTAAAATTCAACATTTTTTCCTGAATTTTATGGGATTTAGGTTTATTATTTTTGTGCTTTTAGAAAATACTTTACTTATTTAATAGTCTCCACCCTTTGGTAAAAAATCTAAAATTATCGCAAATTATCAAAAATTCAAAAATCCGAATTTCTTAAAATTCAACATTTTTTCTTCTCTTTTATGGGATTTAGCTTCATTATTTTTGTGCTTTAGGAAAATACTTTACTTATTAAATTGTCTCGAATCATTGGTAAAAAATCTAAAATTAGCAAAAATTCAAAAATCCGATTTTCTTAAAATTCAACATTTTTTCTTCTCTTTTATGGGATTAACCTTAATTATTTTTGTGCTTTTGGAAAATACTTTACTTATTAAATTGTCTCGAATCATTGGTAAAAAATCTAAAATTATCAAAAATTCAAAAATCCGTATTTCTAAAAATTCAACATTTTTTCTTCTCTTTTATGGGATTTAGCTTCATTATTTTTGTGCTTTTGGAAAATACTTTACTTATTAAATTGTCTCGACTCTTTGGTAAAAAATCTAAAATTATCAAAAATACGAAAAAATTCAAAAATCCGATTTTCTTAAAATTCAACATTTTTTCTTCTCTTTTATGGGATTTAGCTTCATTATTTTTGTGCTTTTGAAAAATACTTTACTTATTAAATTGTCTCGACTCTTTGGTAAAAAATCTAAAATAATCAAAAATTCGAAAAAATTCAAAAATCCATTTTTCTTAAAGTTCAACATTTTTTCTTCTCATTTATGGGATTTAGCTTCATTATTTTTGTGCTTTTGGAAAATACTTTACTTATTAAATTGTCTCGACTCTTTGGTAAAAAATCTAAAATTATCAAAAATTCGAAAAAATTCAAAAATCGGATTTTCTTAAAATTCAACATTTTTTCTTCTCTTTTATGGGATTTAGATTTATTATTTTTGTGCTTTTGGAAAATACTTTACTTATTAAATTGTCTCGACTCTTTGGTAAAAAATCTAAAATTATCGAAAATTATCAAAAATTCAAAAATCCGATTTTCTTAAAATTCAACATTTTTTCTTCTCTTTTATGGGATTTAGCTTCATTATTTTTGTGCTTTTGGAAAATACTTTACTTATTAAATTGTCTCGAATCTTTGGTAAAAAATCTAAAATTATCAAAAATTCGAAAAAATTCAAAAATCCGATTTTCTTAAAATTCAACATTTTTTCTTCTCTTTTACGGGATTTAGCTTCATTATTTTTGTGCTTTTGGAAAATACTTTATATATTTAATAGTCTCGACTCTTTGGTAAAAAATCTAAAATTATCAAAAATTCAAAAAAATTCAAAAAATTGATTTTCTTAAAATTCAACATTTTTTCTTCTCTTTTATGGGATTAAGCTTCATTATTTTTGTGCTTTTGAAAAATACTTTACTTATTAAATTGTCTCGACTCTTTTGTAAAAAATGTAAAATTATCAAAAATTCGAAAAAATTCAAAAATTTGATTTTCTTAAAATTCAACATTTTTTCTTCTCTTTTATGGGATTTAGCTTCATTATTTTTGTGCTTTAGGAAAATACTTTACTTATTAAATTGTCTCGACTCTTTGGTAAAAAATCTAAAATTCAAAAAAATTCAAAAATTTGATTTTCTTAAAATTCAACATTTTTTCTTCTCTTTTATGGGATTTAGCTTCATTATTTTTGTGCTTTAGGAAAATACTTTACTTATTAAATTGTCTCGACTCTTTTGTAAAAAATGTAAAATTATCAAAAATTCGAAAAAATTCAAAAATTTGATTTTCTTAAAATTCAACATTTTTTCTTCTCTTTTATGGGATTTAGCTTCATTATTTTTGTGCTTTAGGAAAATACTTTACTTATTAAATTGTCTCGACTCTTTGGTAAAAAATCTAAAATTATCAAAAATTATCAAAAATTCAAAAATCCGAATTTCTTAAAATTCAACATTTTTTCTTCTCTTTTACGGGATTTAGCTTCATTATTTTTGTGCTTTTGGAAAATACTTTATATATTTAATAGTCTCGACTCTTTGGTAAAAAATCTAAAATTATCAAAAATTCAAAAAAATTCAAAAAATTGATTTTCTTAAAATTCAACATTTTTTCTTCTCTTTTATGGGATTTAGCTTCATTATTTTTGTGCTTTTGGAAAATACTTTACTTATTAAATTGTCTCGAATCTTTGGTAAAAAATCTAAAATTATCAAAAATTCGAAAAAATTCAAAAATCCGATTTTCTTAAAATTCAACATTTTTTCTTCTCTTTTACGGGATTTAGCTTCATTATTTTTGTGCTTTTGGAAAATACTTTATATATTTAATAGTCTCGACTCTTTGGTAAAAAATCTAAAATTATCAAAAATTCAAAAAAATTCAAAAAATTGATTTTCTTAAAATTCAACATTTTTTCTTCTCTTTTATGGGATTAAGCTTCATTATTTTTGTGCTTTTGGAAAATACTTTACTTATTAAATTGTCTCGACTCTTTTGTAAAAAATGTAAAATTATCAAAAATTCAAAAAAATTCAAAAATTTGATTTTCTTAAAATTCAACATTTTTTCTTCTCTTTTATGGGATTTAGCTTCATTATTTTTGTGCTTTAGGAAAATACTTTACTTATTAAATTGTCTCGACTCTTTGGTAAAAAATCTAAAATTATCAAAAATTATCAAAAATTCAAAAATCCGAATTTCTTAAAATTCAACATTTTTTCTTCTCTTTTACGGGATTTAGCTTCATTATTTTTGTGCTTTTGGAAAATACTTTATATATTTAATAGTCTCGACTCTTTGGTAAAAAATCTAAAA